TGGGGCCACCTCCCAATGCACCTGGAGGTATGTGTGCCAAACCCCATGACCCGGAGAGCAGCTCAAAAGTGGCTAGACTACAGAGGGCTCCCCGGAAATACGGGGGCCCTAGTGGTGCAGTGGTTAAGCGCTCCGCTGTTAATCGCAAGGTCAGCAGTTCATACCCACCAGCCGCTCCACTGGAGGTGGCTGTCTGCTTCCAGGATGATTGACAGCCTTAGAAACCCCATGGGGCAGCTCCTCCCTGTCTGACAGGGTCTCTAAGGTGGACTCATCAGCAGTGGGGCTTCCCAAGCCCCTAAAGGGAAGCTCCTGGTGGCAGGGACAGGATGTGTTCTCCAGGGTGAGCCCTGAGCAGCAGCAGGCGAAATGTCTCAGAGTATGGGCACGCCTGCTGGGGTTTGAACCCAGCCAATAGTTCATGATCTCCAGGCTCCCTTGGGATACAGTTCTACCCCCAGCCTTGCCTAGGACCCTGGACACCTCGGAGTAGCTCTATAGGGCCACCAGAGGCCCTGCCCTCTGTCCCCAGGCCTGCCAGGAGTCCCAGGGAGCCACCCCTGGGCTCAAATGGACACTTCCTTCGGTGGGTCCATTCAGAAAAGGAGAGCCTGCTCACAGAGGGCCCTAAGGGTGGACTAGGGAAGTGGAGATGGGCTCTCCTCAGTCTTGGCCAAGTTCAAGGGTGGGGAGGGACGGGTCCTCCCTAGACATTCAAGAGGGAGGGGGGGGCCAGTTTGGGTCACAAGCCAAAGAATCAGGAATGTTTCCTCTCAGGAAATGGGAAGGGTTGCTGGGGGATCGGGTGGTCTTGATTCTGTCCTTGCTGCCACCTTAAGCAGAGGACGCAGCCGTGGGTTGTGGAGATGGGGTGGGTGTGGGGGCGGGGAGATATGCTCTGCTTCTTTCAGGATGGCACCCTGACCAACCCCTCCGGGGTCTACTTCCATCTAGAGCCTCGGAGTCACCCACCCAGTCCTGCTTCTTCCACACTTCCATCCACACACGAGGGTAAAGCGGGTCACTTCCAAGGCACAGTGATCACTAAGGTTCTGTGCCAACTTGACTATAGGCGAGGATTCTCCATCGTTTGGCTTGCTTCTTGCTGGGCCTGGAGCCTGCCTCTGACTCTTCATCTAATCTCGGATTCTTTGGATGGCCTGTTACGTTGCCTGCCGATCCTGGGAGTTGTCAGCAGGGTGCCATCTCCTTGGATACATTCACTTCTGCAGTCACAAGCCCAACCCCCCCCACCTTGAATTCATTCGCCTCTGCAGCCAGAAGCCTGTTGTCTTCTTGCCCATCTTGGGTTCATCAGCCCCTGGGGCCCCAGGAGTCAAGAGAAAGTGCCTGCCTAACATATGCCCTGTGGATACTTGGAATGTGTCCGCTTCTACACTGTGTGAGCCATTTCCTAGCGATAAACTTCTCTGTATGCATACATTTATAAACATTGACTTTGCTTCTCTAGAGAATCCAGCCCATGACAGGACCCCAAAAGGGCGCATAACCTCACCCATTTTCAGCCTCAGTCTCCTGATCTATAAAATGGGATAACAGTCGTATCAACTCCATGAGAATTTATTTAGATACCACATCTAAAACACTCACAACAGTACCTGATCAATAATGCTTGGCTACAATTACTATGATGCAGCCTCTGGTGGCAGCACTACCCACTCCCATCCTCAGACCAGGCCCAGTGGGGTCATCTAGAAAGAGAGTCTTAGGGAAGAAAGTATTGGAGCTATTCTCCTCCAACTCCCACTTCAGGGCCTTGGAAGGGCCCTGGAAGACCTGTTGGATCTTAGATCTTCCCCACTGTAGCTAAAAGGGCACCAAGGAATTCTGGGAAACCTCTCCCCTTCCCTCTGGCCAGGAAGATAGACTTTTCCTCTGTACCCTGAAGGAGCGTGGAAAGTGGGCGCATTACCCCGTGGGCTCAGAGCCAGACAGGTGCCCAGCATCACCCCTACGGTTCACCCCAGGAGGAAGGCAGTCTTTTATGCCCATTATACCAACAGAGAAACTAAGGCTGAGAAGGAAACTATCCAATGTGGTAGAGTGAGGCCAGGCTGGCTCTGTCTCTAAAGACAACACTGAGTAAAGTCCTAATGGCTGCCCTGCTGCCCACAGGATCTCTTACCTTTTGTTCTGGTCACAGGTGCCCGGCAGGCCCAACTACTAATAGCCACCTCTTTCAAGGGGCCACCCTGACTGCCCCAGATGAGGCAGGCTCTGGTCATACCTTCTTTCAGCGCCCCACCCCTCTCCTGGGGAGGTTCTGTTCCCACATGAAATAATTACCCAGAATTCTCAACTGCGCCAAGAGTCCACGTAAAGGTTGATCAGAATCTCTTTGCTTTTCTGCGTCCTTCCAGGGCTCCATTTCCCCTGCCCACCCCAACCCCCTCTGCCCCTGTTCTAGCCCTGCCAGCTGTCTTGTCCCTCCACTGAGCCTTTTCTGTGGTCCATCCCTTGGCTGGGAACTCCCTCCGTCCAGAACCCCACACGTTAAGTTCACAGCTGGACCAGCCGAAGTTGGAGCAGAGTTTGGCGTCAAGGAGACGCTCGCTGAGTACCTGCTGATGGGTTAATGGTTAAAGACCAGCAGAATGACTGAAGAGATGGATGGACGCAGGCACGCACGGATGGAATCAAGCACAGAGCGAGAGAGCACAGTGGTGCAGAGTGTGGGCTGTGGCTTCAAATTCCGGATCTGCCACGGAGTCCCGAGCCGTGAGGCCTCTCGGAGCCTCAGTCTTCCGGTGTGTGCAGCGATGTGAAAACAGCAGCAGGTATGGAGGGGTACAGACCAGTCAGCACCTGATACAGAGTAGGTGCGCACGCCCGGCCCTGGTGCGCTGTGGTTAGCCGTGGCCTGGCCACACCCTTCCCTCGCTGGCTCCACCGCGCTTAAGCCACGTATGCCTCTTAGACAAACATGGTGGCAGGTCCAGAGCCCTCTCCCCAGGGCCCTGGCTCTGTAACCCAGCCTGGCCACAGGCTCCCTTCAGGGCCCAGGAATTCTGGGAATTTTCTGGCAGGAAGGCTTCCGTCACTCAGATGTGAGAGGAGCTGGTGGGCACCCGGGGACAGAGTCCAGCCTGAGCACTGGGCCAGAACAGGGCATCCAGAGTGGGGGTCAGCCACGTACCTGCCCAGGGAAGGAACAGGTCAATCTCTGGTCTGCCTCGTGGGCTTCTCACAAAGTCGGGGGGCCCCCACCCATGGCCACTTCACGACTCTTTTGGCCAGGGCGGATTACGAAGTTCTGGAAACTCCGGTCCAAACTGGAGGTCTTGAGGAAGCTAAGATACGGCCTAAAACAACCCCTTCCCGTCACAGGGATGAGATAGCAAAGCGTGCTCAGGCCAGGGTGGCCTACTGCTCTCTGCGTTTGCAAAGGCCCATTCACGCTGCCAATAATTACTGAGCACCAACCACTCCCAGCTGCCCCTGTGGCCAATGCTACCCTCGGAGGGGCTCACTGGTGGGCCCAGTCCTCCCACTTTACAGATGAAGAAACTGAGGCTGAGAAGTGGGATACCTGGCCCCAAGTCACTCAGCCTCCAATGGCAGAGTTGGGACCCAGCCCTGACAGCAGAGCAAGGCTTCATTTTTAAACGGAACTTAAAAGTGGCTCTTCTTGGACACAAATCAGGCAGAAAACTGCCCTGTGGTCTCAGGGTCTCACGCTAAAGGGGGCATGTATGTGTGTGTATGTGTGCGTGTCCAGCATGAACCTGGGCACCACGGCAGAAACAGCAGACAACATCTGTTGTATTTCTCCCCCACATCTGCCCTTACCCTGTCTCACAGGACAGCCAGAGCTCGGACAGGTGGGGTGAGGAGGAGTTGTGGTATGACATGGCCCCCTCCCCTCGCCCCACCCAGTGTCCTTGCAGATGCACACAGGGACAGCCACGCACACAGGGACACATTGACCCCGCCCCTTCACAAAACTCAAATCAGACACTGCTATCGAGTCAATGCTGACTCACAGCGACCTCGTACCACGGGAAGAACTCCCCCTGTGGGTTGTTGAGACAGTAGCTCTTTACGGGAGTAGAAAGCCCGGTCTTTACCCTTCGGAGCATATGGGTGCATGCAACTGCTGTTGTGGCCCGAAGCCCATAATGCTGCCCAGGTGCCTTCCTTTCCGACACACAGGCATTCCCACCTACACCCACCTTCACATACACGGGTGCACCCAGACACTGACACATATTGCCTTGCATACGTGCCCGCACCCCTGGCTCAGAGTCCAGAGCACACGCACATATCCACACACAAGCTGACACACTCGTTAACCCACAGGCCACTTCAACTCCAGGCCTGGGCTGTCCTCTCTGTCCACACCCAGCCCCTCAACGCCCATGGACTCTGCTTTCTGCCCGTATCTAGGGTTTTAGGGCTGGCGTCCAAACAGCCGCTGACCCGAACCCTTTTGCTTCCTGGGGCAAAACTGGGAAGAGGGATTCTCCTCCAGACGCAAGTCCTGCAAAGACTGCCCGCCCAGGGTTAGAAAGAAGGCAGTGGGCAGAGAACAGGCCTCCGGGACAAGAGGGCCACCGGAGCAAGACTCCATCCCCCCCGATGCACACAGTTTCCTGTTAGCAAACTTTCAGCCGCTGGAAGGCCTGCCTGGTACCCAGTG